ACTACAAATTTAAGAGGACAAATTCATTATTTTTGGAACATTTAAACATTGTTCCATCTCACTGTGGATACGACACCTCAAAACTACACTACAACTACCGCGTTACACTTTGGGCGTATTCAGGTCACGATTTATCTATCGGTCACATATTTTCAATTTTTGGTTACATATTATCAAATTTTAATGTTACGATTTAACGGTTAGTCACGAATAACCAAATATTTGGTCATAGCACCACCACCGCAACCAACCACACACTATCAGGACCACCAACTAGATCTGAATCCACTACAGCCAGCACCAACACCACCATCACACCCCAATGCAACACCATCACCACGACTCCATTCCTCCACTGCACACACACCTACAGCACAAGCCGATATATTATTGAATGTTCATACCCAAACTCAATGTGTTTTGCAATTGTCCTAGCCGACTGCACACACACCCGCAACACCGTCAGTTTGAAGGATTATTGTGGACTGAACAAAGTGGCACTCAATTTAACAGTGGTTTTCTTGATTTCAATTTGGGGCAAAATGATTTCTTCACCAACGAAAACGAGATCAGATTTATTTCGGGCTAATTTTTTCGAAGGATTCGCTGCTATGCCGTCGCGACGCTGTCGTGTTCAGAGCGTCACGCGGCATTATCGCAACGCTGCCGTTCACAGCAGTGTCTCGACGTTGGGAGAGACAAGGGGGAGAGGTGGAGGGGCAGAGAGGGAGGAATGGATGGAGGAATTGGAAATTAGGGTTAATAATATTATGTTTAATATTAATTAAAATATAAAATTATTACCTGATTTTTGAATAATTAAACTTTAAACCTGATTTTTGAAAATCATTCTTTAAACACCTGATTTTTTGTAATTTCCTCTAATAATATATCATCTAGATATTCACGTGAATACATAAATGCAGGTAATATTACTGTGCTCACTGAAGTGCTTGTTTTACATATCCGAATTATTAATATATAAAATGTTTTCTTTTTAATATCAGCTTCTTAGTAAATTGAGTTGAGAACACACAAAATTTGTCAAATGCTGCAAGCATTAAATAAATTCAAATATTTTGTATTATGTTCTGAATTGAATTGGTCTGAAAGTTGGTTTTTATGAGGTCAAGTTACATTAAGATTCACGTAAAACTTGGTTTAAGGGTAGAATTGTCCTTTTATGTGGCATTTAACGGCAAAAATGATGGAAATTATCAATATAAACAATGCGACAGATTAAATGAAATGCTGGGATCGATAGATAGGATAAAAATAGAAACAATTGTGCTGCATATACATTATTCTTTATATCATTTACACTCTACCACGTGACAACGCACCATTGGACAGTTTAAAAAATTATATAATTTTCTTTCCAATTATTTTTTAACAACACATCAAATGATAAGGATGATGTACACTCTAATTAATATCTTAACTTGATTTAAACGATAATTAATTTTTCAAAGAAACTACATCAAATAGGTTGCACATTGTAGTCTATTTTAACAAAATATAAAATTTGGCCCAAAAAATATATAAGTTGGAATCAATTATAAATATATATCAGTATATATGGATTAAAGACAAAAATGAGAAGAGTGCAATAGAACTTGTACCGATATTTATTTACTTTTAATATTCATTAGGGCATAAGATGGAAAAACAACATAAAGTAAGTCGATGCAATCATCACATAGTGTGTGTGTGTGTGATGACACCCATTTTACCAAGTAAAGGAAAAGAATATAGGTAATTGGGTCCCACATAATGCATTGCATATAACAGATGATCAAGGCAAAAGTCAAACACAAAATTTAAGCCACAAATCATGCTGAAAATAATCATCCGAAATCAGTCTTTCTAAAATTATTGTTTCTGTAATCTTTACATTTATGGCTGTATATTCTTTACATTTATTGTTGTATATTTTTTAGTTACATTTCTCTGTATATAAACTCTATGGATGATAGAAATGAAAGCGTGTAGATTTTCATATTCAAAGAGCATTACATTTTCCTCTATATGGTATCAGAGCAGCCAATCTCTAACGAGCAAGTGAATCCCGCATCCACCATGGCTTTCTCTCCCAACCAAAATCAAATCAATCCTAATACCCAACCTATTTCCCCCATAGAAATTCCCCTCATAGCTCTCAATATTATTGCTCAAATAAATGAAAAGCTAACACCCTCTACGTTTCCACAATGGAGGGCTCAATTTGAAGACCTTCTCATTGGCTATGACTTGCTTGACTATGTCACAGGTGACCTGCAATATCCCAAACCAAATGGCAACTCTGTCACCGTCGCCCACAAAACTCACTGGGTTAGACAAGACAAACTCATTCTGAGCGCCATTTTATCCTCCACTTCTCCTACTATCACTCCACTTATTGCTACTGCCAAAACTTCCTCCGAAGCATGGAAGAAATTAACCTCCTTGTATGCTAGCAAATCAAGGACAAGGGCAATGCAATTAAAAGAGGAAATCACCTTGATTCAACGTGGAAACAGACCCATCACAGAATATCTTCATGCGGTCAAAGCGTTGGCAGATGAAATTGCCATCATTGACCTCCCAATTTCTGATGATGACCTAACTTTGTATTTTTTGCATGGTTTAGGTCTGGATTTTCGTGAAATCGCAGCCCCAATTCGAGCAAGGGAGACCCCGCTTGCTTTTGAGGCTCTCCACGACCTTCTAGTTGGCCACGATAACTATCTTCGGCGGATAGAAGCTGCGAACCAGCAGCTGGTGGCGGCTGCCAATTTCACTTCAAGGAAATCTGGTTCGGGTGGAGTACAGCAGATGAACAATGGCCAGAAACGAATCTCTGGGCAAGGTCAAAATCGAAGCCCAAACTCACAAGGATCAAATTGTGAAGGACGACGAAATGGGCCCTCTCGATCTTATGGAACCAACGATATTACAAGCCAAAATGTCAGCTTTGTGAACAAATCGATCACACAGCCAAGAGCTGTCCACAGTTACGTCAAAGTGAATTTACAGTTAACTGTGCCAATACCTCCACTGCAAAAGATCAGAAATGGCTCATTGACTCAGCCGCATCACATAACATCACTGGTGATCTTCAAAATTTGAGCATTCACTCTGAATACGATGGCACTGATGAAGTAATTCTTGGAGATGGTTCAGGTTTGGCTGTCTCACACATTGGGTCATTATCTTTGCATTCACCTAAAAGAACCTTTATCCTCAAAGATACTCTTTGTGTTCCCAACATAAATAAAAATTTAATTTCTGTGCATCATTTTACCTCTCAAAATAACGTCTATGTTGAGTTTCACCCCTCTCATTTTCTTGTGAAGGAACAGATTACGGGGGCAATTCTACTCAAAGGTGCGTGTGAAAACGGCGTTTACATCTTTCCGGACTCCTTGGTGGGCTCTTCTTCAAAGTTGGTTGCTAATGTGCATGAGCGGACCTCGCTTGATGGGTGGCACAAGTGTCTTGGACACCCATCCTCAAAAGTTGTTCAACATTTACTTTCCAATTTTTCTCTTCCTGTTTCTTCCAATAAAATGTCTTCATTATGTAGCTCTTGTTCTATTAATAAAGCCCATCAACAACCATTTCACATCACAAGTCTCCAAAGTAATGCTCCTCTTGAAATTGTTTACACGGATGTTTGGGGGCCCGCTCATTATACTGGTCTTGATGGTTCACGATATTATTTAATTTTTGTGGATCATTATACCAAGTATATATGGTTTTATCCTATGGCAAATAAATCGGGTGTATCAAGTATTTTTCCACAATTTAAATCTTTTGTGGAAAAACATTTTCAAGCAAATATCAAAACTCTTTACTCTGACAATGGTGGTGAGTTTGTTAAACTTAAACCTTTTTTAAACCTTCATGGAATAAGTCACTATACCACTGCTCCTCACACACCACAACAAAATGGTGTTTCCGAAAGACGTCATCGTCATCTTGTTGAGACGGGTTTAACCTTACTCCATGATGCATCCTTAGCCCTCTCATATTGGCCATACGCTTTTAGAACCGCCACATATCTCATAAATCGACAACCCACCCCTCTTCTTCAAAACAAATCTCCTTTTGAAAAACTTTTTTCCCAAAAACCAAACTATCTTAAAATGAGAAAGTTTGGGTGTCTTTGTTACCCTCTCACAAAACCATACAACACTAACAAAATGCAGCCAAAATCGGTTCCTTGTATTTTTCTTGGATACTCACAAACCCAAAATGCATATATTTGCATGGATCCAAGAACAAACAAGACCTATATGTCTCGGCATGTCATGTTTAACGAAGCCGAAACCGGACTTCAACAAGCCCATGGCCCGAATCAAAGATCGGAACCCCATTTCACTTCCAATTTGTGTCCTACCTCCTTCATTTCCTCCCCTCCTCCATCAGTGCAAGTTCCCCAAGCACAGCAGCAGCCAATGCCATCTTCGTCGGAGCAGCACTTCACCATGGGTCTAGATGATGTCTTCGTCATTGCCGCATCAACTTCAGGTAACCCTTGTTCTGTAACTTCAGTTCCAGCTTCTACATCATGCTTACCTGATAGATTTGATGTATTTCATTCGAACCCCTCGCATGAAACCCAAGAAACACATAACACTCAATTGCCTCAAGCTGAAAATCAACCACATGGAGAGGCCGAACCCCATCGCATCCACAAAATGACCACACGGTCAATGAATAAAATTTTCAAACCCAAACAAATTCACACGGTCTCCAAGCACCCACTCCCACAAACTCTAGAACCCACATGTGTGAGTCAAGCCATAAATCATCCTCAATGGCGTACTGCAATGTTTGAAGAGCTCACAGCTCTCATGAGGCATGGAACTTGGGATCTGGTTCCATCTCCTCCAAATTGTCACCCAGTAGGATGTAAATGGGTATTTAGGGTAAAAAGAAAATCTGACGGCTCTGTGGAACGATTCAAAGCCCGCCTTGTGGCCAAAGGCTATAATCAACGTCCAGGCTTAGATTACAAGGAAACCTTCAGCCCTGTGGTTAAACCAGCAACCATTCGGATTGTGTTGTCCATTGCTGTAATGCATGGCTGGAAATTGAGGCAAATGGATGTAAATAATGCCTTTTTGCATGGAAATCTCACTGAAACAGTCTTTATGATGCAACCACCCGGGTTCAAAGACTTATCAAAGCCAAATCATCTGTGTCGACTCAGAAAGGCAATTTATGGGCTAAAACAAGCCCCTGGGGCCTGGTATACAGCCCTGAAAAATGCTCTTGTGGACCTTGGTTTTCAGAATTCAAGAGCAGATTCCTCACTGTTTATCTACAAGAAGGGCTCTATTACTTGTTATTTCTTGGTGTATGTGGATGACCTTGTTCTTACAGGGAACGACTCCAAGTT